TTGACTTTCGGAAGAATATCCGAAATGTCTACCTGAAAGGTTTGTTCCATTATTGGTATTGGAATGAGTTTTGGTTGAAGCTTTTCAAGATTGCACTCAATTTTGGATTTGCTTATTTCGACCAATGCATATATTGGCTTGTGCACATACTGGATGTTTACTGGAAACGTTTTTGACAGACTATCTGTTGACACTGAGTCAAGATCATAGACTAGTTGTCTAAAGATTTCATTCATGCCGTTAATTAATCCGAGTTCAATAGCAATATTTTGTGTAATAATAACTGGCATTCCAGGAACTAACGGTAACAATCCCGGCAAGTGCTCAGTCTTACTATCTGATAGTTCCAATAATTTTTAAGGAGTGCCGGCTCTTCAACAGGTTTGCCTTTACAAAAGTCCTGGGCAACACATACCATTGGGTCGCAACCTGTTTGTATTGCATTATGAATTGTCGACCTGTGATTCAGTTGCGTTCGTATTTCATTCCTAAACACAAGCATGGAAGCCTAAAACAAAACAAAGCATAGAAAATATGTTTATTTAGAACAGAGAAATGTATCTTACTTGATTCCATGGTGGTTCATGAAGAGATACTGATGACTGTCCAACAACGCGCGTCAATAATAATTCATAATCTTCATAACTACATTGACCTTGACGAAGTCGTTGAAGTAACTGAAGATATCGTGAATCTTCTGTTCGCATCTGTTGAGTAAGTTTGACCACACAATTCAGTTGTAGAATTAACGAATGTGCCACACGTTGGATTTCGTTTTCCGAAGGTAATTTATTGAATTTCTTTTTTGTTTTCCGATGATAAGTCAGTGTGTAACGAGGCATCGTATACAGGCCGGTACTGTGAATAATCACCAAAGAATATAACGTTTATACCACCGAATGGAATCTGCGGATCGGCATGTTTAGCGGCACAAAGAATTCGATTGAGTTTGCCGAGTAAAGTCAAACCAACCACACTCCCCAGGTCGAACAATCCCATACTCGGATCCCATCGGATCTAATATAGGATTTTATGAGATCCTACAGGAATTTGACGGATCCGATGAAATCCGGATGACGGAGTCGCATTGGATCCCGACAGTCTCGGATCCGAAACATGGATTTCCTGGATTTTCTAAGGGTCATCATAGAACATAGCTAAAAGATCGCTCATAAAATTTTCAACAACCGACGGGATTTTTCTAGTCGGATTCCAATGCAATTCCGTTTCCAGGAATCCGATCGGATTTTGTCGGATGGTCGGATCCAGTCAGATCCGATCGGATCCAGCATAGGATTTGTTGACCTGGGGATTTACTCCTAAAACATCGAAAAACAGAATGTCGACAATAAATATAATGTTGAAATTTTCGAGCTGCTACTCTCACTCTCGATAATAATATATTTTCTTTTTATTTTATATAAAAACGAGCCTTTTAATATTATCTTTTTCGATATTTTACCTTTTCAACCATTCCATATCTACCCTCAGGAATACTTGAAAATAGAGAACGTTCCTCTTGTTGTTGTATTACTCGTAGTTTTATATGTAAAACTTGAATAGCTTCGATGTAATTCAATTGATCATCTATGGTGTTTGATACTTAGCGAAAGAAAATAAAACGCGTCTCATGACATCATTGACTTGCGTCAGCACACTAATCTATATTTAGGCTGAACAATAACAAAGCTGGGCGTTGTCATTAAATAAAACGGGTATTGTTGAGTATACATAGGTAAATGTGTATATATGCGCGAGTGTTTCAGTTGATATTACATTTCGTTTATTTACGTGAGTGCGAGAGTGTCAACATATTCGACCAAAATGAATCAAACATTGTTTCTTATTCTAGTTACAAAACATAAACAATGACGGCGAAATCTTTGTCAGAAGATAATGAACAATCGTTTGATATGTTTCCTACAAAGAATATACCGATACATGTGCTCAAATCAACAAGTGGATGTCGTATTATGGCACTATCACTTTTTATTCTTATTGTTATTGGAGTTGTCGTTATTTTTTACAAGGCAAACGAAATCGCTCGAGGAGATGAAGGTAAATGAGTTGAATGGAATTTATTGTTATGGATGATGATGTTTAGGGCGTGTGGAAAGTAAATTATTCGATAGGAATTTTCAAGAACAAGACGAACTTATTCGAAAACGACGATCGTCGGATTGTTTCTCTAAGCATGTTAAACATCATCGATCGCGTATGTTCATCGTATTTCTTTTTTCTAAGTTTTGAATATTTATCGTCAAAGGTTCTAAAAACAAAAGAAAAACACACCCAATACCGTCGAAA